TCATTATGATGGACTTTGAGCGGGCATCGATAAAGTCTGTAAAAGAGACCATGCCATTGGATCAGAGGTTGTTGGTTCCATTTTACCAGAGTGAGTATTTATACAACCCATGGATAATATGTAAAAACTAAAAGGTTTTATTTACATGTGTATTTTTTTTACTTTCAGGCAATCTCCTGTCATTGGCAAGATTTAGGCTTGAAGAATGTTACATCTTCTTCTGTCCAAGACATTCTCTCTCTCGCCTGGGTACTTCCTCTGCTACCAGAAAAACATTTTTCGACAGCTATTGAATTTTATAAAAAAAGGCTGATCAAGTTGAGCCTGAATATCAAGATAGTGTCAATAAATTTATTGACTATCTAAAGAACCAGTGGCTGCGAATAGCTGGAATAGTGTTTTTATGGGGGTCACCGACGCGAACCAATAACATCTGCGAATCATTTCACAGATGGCTGTCACAGCGTCTTGGTAGCCATCCCAATTTCTATGTTTTTATTGGTAAATTATTCATGTAAATGTAAATATATTTTTATTTTATAAGACTTAAATATAATAAAAAATGTTTCTTTTCCAGACAAATTGACGAACGTAATTGCGGAGATAGAAGGCAAATGGCAAGATCTTCAGCGCGATGGAAGTGCCTTCGGTACTAAATGTTTCAAACAGTTGAAAATTGACTTGTACATAAATAACCAGCAAAAAGCGTTGCATAATGGAAGGTAAGAAGTCTTAAGCATTGCTATTATTATGTCACGTCTACAATCTGATAAGCAATAAATTAATAAACATTTTGTCTTTCAGGATCGATGTTGGTGAGTTTCTAATGAAAATGAAGACCCGGACTGTGAAAGATTTCATTCAGTTCAAGTTATACTCGCCAAATAGTGAGCCAAATTATAAAATAACGTATGAGTAAACGAGTTTTATTGTTGATAATCAAATGATGACAAAAAATAATTACAAACATAGAAATTTAATTACAAAAATAGTGTTGCCAGACAGACGATTCTGAATACCCGTAAAGTACCTACTACTCGCTTCCATCACGCACGTGTTCGAAAATAATAAAAGTCATTATCATCTGCTTAGCTTTCTCCCCGAATTGTTCGGGGTCGGCTACCTAAGCCAGGCCAGGAGAAACGAAAATAAATATGTAACTTGTAAAAATTTTTTGCGAGGCCCCCTCAGGCGCGAGGCCGTCGGCGGTGGCCGACGTCGCCGACGCCTAGCGCCGATACTGTTAATGTAGTACCTAAAACATTTAACGATCTTGGCAATCTACTTGTAAAATATGAACCTGCTCAAAGAATTTACCAAGGGCAGGTAGTAATATCGGAAACGTGCAGTGCTGTCATATTTGCAAGCAATGCTGTGCTAGAACGCATGAATGATTGCCGGGAGATTTATGTGGATGGTACTTTCAAGGTAAATTTTAGATACCTACAAATATGCATAATACGTGAAATATACTTTTTCTCAAAATTACATTTTATCTTACTTATTTCCAGTGTGTGCCGAAAGACATAGGCGCCAAACAGCTTCTCATCTTGCACATGAGAAAAATGGACGTGGTATGTAATTGAAATACTTTTCCTTTGTATTTTGTATTCATCAGCTATTGAATTTTATAAAAAAAAGACTGATCAAGTTGAGCCTGAATATCAAGATAGTGTCAATAAATTTATTGACTATCTAAAGAACCAGTGGCTGCGAATAGCTGGAATAGTGTTTTTATGGGGGTCACCGACGCGAACCAATAACATCTGCGAATCATTTCACAGATGGCTATCACAGCGTCTTGGTAGCCATCCCAATTTCTATGTTTTTATAGGTAAATTATTCATGTAAATGTAAATATACTTTTATTTTATAAGACTTTAATATAATAAAAAATGTTTCTTTTCCAGACAAATTGACGAACGTAATTGCGGAGATAGAAGGCAAATGGCAAGATCTTCAGCGCGATGGAAGTGCCTTCGGTACTAAATGTTTCAAACAGTTGAAAATTGACTTGTACATAAATAACCAGCAAATAGCGTTGCATAATGGAAGGTAAGAAGTCTTAAGCATTGCTATTATTATGTCACGTCTACAATCTGATAAGCAATAAATTAATAAACATTTTGTCTTTCAGGATCGATGTTGGTGAGTTTCTAATGAAAATGAAGACCCGGACTGTGAAAGATTTCATTCAGTTCAAGTTATACTCGCCGCATAGTAAGTATATATGTCCGTATATTAAACCGATAAATTTGGAATTCTCTCATTACTTAAAATATTTTTTGTACATTTCAGATGTCAAAGATTTCAATCCAGAAGATATATTGGGACCTGAAGAGCTTGCGGATTTACTTGAATATCCCCATGTAATGGAGGTTATTAATCATACCACAATAGAGTCTCCAGAAGTCATGAAAGAGAAGAAGTCTAGAACTTCTCAAAATTTAGAAGTCACACAGGAGCCCGTGGTTACACAAAAGGCAATTCCGAAATCATTGACTGTACCGGAAACAGTAAAAGTCAAGCGAAATCCTGTAATGAGACAAAGAAAGCCAGCTTATCTTACACATACTTCTGAAATCCTTACTCGAAAAGCAAAAAGAAGGAAACTTCGAGGTCGACCTACTACAGAGTCTCAAAAGAAGAGTTACGCAGCAGGTCCCTCCTCTAAACCGACTTCAAAAAGCATATCAAAGAATAAAAAATCACGTAGCCTATTGGTTGTGGAACACGAACCTCGATATAAGATTTCTCGAACTCTGAAAGCAGCTCTAAAGAAAGCTGAAAAGAATAAGGGACTTCATGTTCAACGAATAACAGATAATGAGCCTCGCTTCAAGTTTTCTCCATCTTTCAAAAAGTTTCTGAAAATACAAGAGACAAGCAACGTACAATTGAATAGATTAAATCGATTGATTGAGATATAATGATAAAGTTGTAACGACAGAGATGTTATAGTACACTAGGGTCCCATGCCCTATTTATTTTTTCTTAATTAGCCCGCGCTTGCTAAGGGTCATCAGAAGTAATCTATTTCGGAGTAGAGTCATCTTTCGTGATCCCACATCCAGGTATGAAATATTTCTCGAGGTCTCTTCACTTGCGGACGCCAGGCTGGCAGGAGGCGTAGCAGACTGCAACTCTTCATCCTCTTGGTGGACTTTGGAGTTTTTTGGATATCTTGGTAGCATTCCTGGTGGTTATTGGGGACCAAGTACCAACAGATATAGTTCGATTTTCTGTTTAATTATGTTTTTGAGAATAAAACAAAAATATTACATTGTAATGATAGAGTTGTAACAACAGAGTTGTAAGTGATAAAATTTACCATTTCCCTAAGGGAAAAAAATACTATTTTCTTAGTTACAACTCTATCAAGCACGGTCCAATCGTGTACAACTCTATCAGAACAACTTTATCCTATAAAACTTTTATTTTCACTTGATGTTACGTTTATTATAATTTTTAATGTGCGTTTTTTAGATAAGTATTATTCTAATGATTAATAATATTGTTTTTTACAGTTAATACAAATCAATTTAAAATGAGTTATTTTATAATTCTTACCTGGACAAGAACTTTTTAAATGATCTAAAGATAATTTAAAATAATTTATCTACGAAAAAAACAGAACTATTTTTATATGTTTACTCATTGCTTGCAAGTGCACCAGAAGTTATAACCTTTGTCTCAAAGTCTGTTTATTCTGTTCTTACAGTTTTAATGAGGACAATACCGACAACACCGTACTTTATCAATCTGGAAATATGGAAATCCCTAATAAGAAATATATTTGAGATTATTATACTATTATTACATTATATTAAAATACAGAAATTGACCTAATGTCTCATAGTGATAAGGAAAAAAACAATTGTTTTGAAACGGTAATTCCTAAAGCTGATATCCAGGTTACATAAGAGTGATTATTCTATGTTGGTACAACAATAACACACCAACTACGAAAATTAAATCTTATTATATTCAGTTATGGATTTAAACTCCAAACAACGGCACCATTCAACGAAATGACATAAACCGAAATAGACTCTGTGGAATGCGCTAGTAGTTGACGAAATATTACCCGAAATGATTTATTGAGATTCATTTCTTTTGTTCATTTAAAAAGAAGGTATTGTAGTTAGTGTTGAAACTACAAAATAAAAAAAAACATATTTTTTTTTTATAGGAAAAGTCACAGCTGTTAAGATCCTCTGCACGTATTTTAAATTTTAAAATTATTACTAACCCGTAATTGAAAAACGATGACCATATTTTTGCAGCCGCAATTTTTCTTTATGTCCCCGGATGTGCGCAAGCTGTGTACTGGTGTATTTATCTGGAGTTTGTGTACATAAAATCAGCTGTTTTGTTGACATTTCACCAAATGGATTGTTTCTAAGGACGCCTAGGACAGCCGCGCCCGTTGCTATGTATCCGATACTACTTAGCCAATAGCAGGCTTGAATTGTTCCGGCGGCCTGGCAACCTTGACGGGCGATTTTATTTAATCATGAAAGTGACATTTGAAGTTAGTTTGTGTATTTTTATATTATTCATGTTTGTTTTGGATGCCTTTTTATAGTTTTAATAGTTTAGTGTAATATTAATTTAGTGGTCTTCACGCTCTTTCTGATTGCATGTCGGCAAATTCCGTCTGGTAGTAAAAGGTAACGGCTAAGCATGCTCTCCGAAGTTCATGCAGCCTGTAACAGAAAGGCAGGCAATCTTGCGGCGGCGACCCAAGTTACCCCTATAATCTGGGGTCCTTTCAGAGAGGCGCGAAGAAGCATTACTGCAGGCCCGCAAAATGAGAATGGTTGGTGTGGCAGTTTATAACTGCTGCACCAGCTATCTTCGCATTTGGACTTTACCACCACTTAATATCAGATGGGGTAGAGTCATTTGCCTAGCTAGCTATAAAAAATAGGTGTGAAGCTTAGCTTCCAGCAATATATTGTCGCATATAATTCTTTTGTCTCTGTCCCGTCACTTACTTGAAAATCGCAACGACCCACGGGAACTCTCCGAACATAGCATTGTTGGACTGTGTGATGCGGTCTACGGAACCTGAATCCTGTCTCCAGCCACAACCCTGCAGTTAACAAAACAATATTATGAGCAGTAGTTCTGTTCTAAGATTTAGTTAGGCCTGCTTCTTACGAGTGTTTAAAGCTTCGTGTTAAAACCCGTTGTTGGCGCTTTTTTAGCGTTACCAGTAACTGTCAATAATAATAATCAATAATCAAAACCATTTATTTAGTTTAGGCTGTTGTAGCTGTAGAGATAATTCATGAGGTGATTTCATTGCATAATGATTAAATATACATTACTTAATTGTTTACCTGCATTTTGATTGCTGTGTCATACAGTATAAATACAAATAGTGTTATTTATATTAAGTGTGACTAAACATTAACTTCAATATTAAGGAAGTCAGGGCAGACTCATCTCCTCTGGCTGTGTTCATATGAACGCTTAAAATACAGTGTGCACGTATAGTAAGTTATAAAATCTAGCACAACTTCATAGGCAATAGCCAAATAACTACATAGATAGCTGTAGAAGAATAAGTTCAATTCGCTCAACGTCCAACAGTGCTCGATAAAAAAAAAGAGGCGCGCTTTAACAACGCTATGGTGTGATCAAGTACACAAATGGATACCCCATTTTTTGTCGTTTAAAAGGTGTTTTAACGCCCGATGAAAAAAGCGCTCGTTCTTTCGTTCCTACAAAATTCATGATTATTTCCGTAAAAAATATTAGTAGGACAGAACGGTTATTTTATCCGATATATTTATTTATACGCCTAATATTAATTAAGCAACACCTGAGTGGATGGTGTGCACCAAATACAATTCAAAAGATACTTTTAACTTTGAGTAGGTAAATAGGATAATTTATTTAGCTTCTGCATAATTCAATATAAAAATATAAATTTCATGCAATACGGAAAATTAAAGTAGATGTTAATTGTTTTTGAGGATAAAATTAATTAGGTGTAAAGTACCTACCGTATTTACCGGGATCGGAGTCGTGGTAGACTCTGAAAGCAAAAATAAATGGATTAATTAAATTTGTCAATAAAAAACACTTGAATCTTAAAATGTAGAAACCCTCCTCCCCCTCTCTTTTAAACGTTAATATTTTATTAAATAGAAAAAAATCCAGGCCTCCCCGGTATCAAAATCGACATGACTATTTGGGTCTCGGTAGGCTTATTTTTATTTTCTTTGTTTTACTGATATACGATTATCCACTTTTTATATGGAGTCAGTATACATTAATAAATAACGTAACGTTTTCAAAAAACCTATCAAATAGCCCAGATTGCGAAAGTTGTGGCAAGTTCGAATCCTGTCTGAAATCTGGGACCGAATTAATTGTTTTATTCAATAAAAATGTTCTTATTTTAAAAAATCTATCAGTTCAATGCTTTAAAAATATAGCCCTTTATTATGTTTGAAATCAGTTAAAATTAACTATGGCAATATTTTTCTCCCCTTTTTAGACTTCTCCATCGACCTGAGATCATGGAAGTTTAGGAACTTTCATTATGGTCGGCCATCGGATGGGTGATCTGCAATGGTGGTAATCTGCAGATCCTTCGTGCCTTAGAAGATACAACTTACTTATTTTGTATATAGTTCCGCTTTAAAGTGCGATATATTGTTAGAGTCAAGTACCACCCCATCAGTCGGTCAATTCAGAGATTCTCAAACTTATTTTGTTTGCCCCCAATAACCAACCAAATATTAAAGAAAGAAAGAAAATGATTTCTTCAAAAATTAATAAGTAATTGTTTACCGCTTTGCCCAGTTTGAGACTATATTTATTTTATAGTGCCCTGCAATTTATTTTTATAATTAATTAATTAATTTAATTATTGTAACTAACATCGATATTAAATTTCTAAAACTCACACAATTTATAAGTGAGAGGCATAGCGGATTTAGGTCCGTATTATAGAAAGATTCGCAGTAATGAATCTAGTCTTGAGCATAGTTAGAAAGGGATGTCGCTATATATAGCACATAGCGACATCCCTTTCTAACTGTACTCAAGTAAAGATCAACACTTAGTTGTCATTCTGTAATACGGCCCTTAGAGTGTAGCGCCCAACTGCGAAAGTAACCTCCACATTACAAACCAACCACAGTAAAATAATAATAATAATAATAAATAATTCCAACACACACACCAATTAGTCTAGCCCCAAGGTAAGCACTGTAAGGCTTGTGTTATGGGATACTAGGGTAACGGATAGAATACATATACAGTACTTAAACATTCATTCTCGGCCCATGAAAAAGGAGGGCCTCTGTTTTTTCGAGAGCCATCTTGAGACCGAGACTATACTAGATACGACTGACTATCATTTTGACGTTGACTGTCGCTAAACGCGCGGCTTCAGCATAGTTATCGCCGTTAGCCAGAACGAGCGTGTCGTCAGCATAGCATGTAACACGGGTCCCGGGCAGAAGACAGCCCCGGAGCACCCAATCATATTCAATATTCCACAATAAGTATATTTATATGGAAATATATATTAAACATCCATGATTGGAGTTGACAATGACAAATGCTCGTATTCATCACACAAACTACTGCCGCCACCGGGATTTGAACCCGGGACCTCTCGAGTCGGCGACACCACGAAACCCGGCGTACAAACCACTCGACCACGGAGGTCGTCAAAAAATACCTTTAGGTGCTGTTGCGTGTGTTCTTCTGGTGAGTAGAGTTTCAGGACTCCACGGGGTACAGGATTGGGTTATGGTTGAGTAATATTTATGGTATCGCAAGCGTCTTTAGGCTATGGTGGCCGCTTAACATCGGGTGGCAATACCATTATTTGCCACCCTTTTAACACGAAATAAAATATAAGATTATAAAATTATTGTAGTATGTTACCTGTGTTAACACTGGCGACAGGATGATATTCTATAATCTTTTGGGTTGTAAATAACCAATTGTAATCGTTTTCGCTATGTGTAGAACACAACAGTGTCGCCAAACACAGAATCAAACCGATCTGGAAATATTAGAAAGGATATTAAGACTTTGGTGACGTGATCATTTTTTTTTCTAACTTGAGTAAGCTTAAATATCAATGCATCTCCTACATTTCAGCTAACACAAATAAAAAAATGGGCTTATGCTTTAATGCAGTTTAATTGCGTTGAACAATGTTACAATATCTACTTGGGAAATTTAATGCAGCGTAACATTAAAATTACTAAATGATTAGGTACCTAATAAATAAGAAAACAGCAATATTTGAAAAAAAAAATTAACTTACCAATGCTGTCATTTTGTTATTTATATAATCACGATAAATGTAATTACTACAACTGTAAACAATTGTGATCAACTAAATACTTGACTTTCAATATTCCGTTTATATATGCCTATTTCGGAACAAAACACTTAGTTTTGTATGTATGTACGATAAACACTACGTTACGCATAATTTATACTGAAATTAGGATACAACTCTTGCTCTATAGTAATTTATGTTATTTACGTATTTGCTACATTGTACCTTGTTTGAAGCGAGTCTCCGATATTTCGGCAAGCGCCGTAATCACGGAGTAACAATAATGATAGTGACCATGAATGAAATTTTAAAACAATACATATTCCTTTTGTTCGTCCGTCGCGTCGTACTGGACGAACACATAAAAAAGGTAGTAATGCCTAGACTGGGCAAATTTTCCAAAACATAAGAAAAGATAATGTTATTAAAGATTCATAAGACAGTAGGACTCTAAGACTAAAGCTTAATATGACAATAGTATACACCGAGAATTTTGAGCTACCTGAGAATCTTAAAAAACGTATTACTAAAAATAATGAAAACAGTTAAAACGGAACGTACGGAACGGAACGAACGAACGACCGGGCACAAGTGCATTGCTTCTGTATTCGAAATTTAATTTTAAAATATTTGTATTGTTTTTTTTTTGTCAATAAAGTGCAAAATTTTGTAATACGTAATACAAATATACAGTGACATTGTTATCCTGCCTTAAAAAAGCTTATAAAACCAAAATACAGAGTTAAAACGAAGTGATCAAGATCGTAATAAAAACAAACAATCACAAAATAATACAGATTAACCTGACAGAAAAAGTGTTGTTACGAATAAAAATGTTCGGTGCAAAGTGAAAGTAATAAAAATAATTGAATAAATTCACAATTGTAATATTTTAATAAATCCCAGAGGGTATCAACACTTTATTTATTCTTTGGACTCCTACCTAATATTCGTCTAGCGCATCTTACTGTTTGCAAAGGATGCTTAAATTGGCAACTGTGCGTTATGAATGGTTGGCGTAGTGCATAACTAATCGGGTGAGACTAAGAGGTCTTCAATTCAAATCCCCAGATAAAGACAGTCGAACTAGCAATACAAATTACCTTTTTTTTGTTCAAATTATGTGAAGCTTTGGAAGAGTAAAGCGGAGCAATTTAACTGTAATTTTAAAATATAATAAAAAATGGCAAAATTCTGTACAAAATGTGAGAAAGAAATTACAAAGCGAGATTTTATAAAATGCTTCAACTGCCAAGGATACTTTCATTTAGATTGTACTGAGATACTATCTCAGAAAAAATATTTTATTTGATGAAACCAGAAAAAAGGAATAACTGCCAATGTGACAACTGCACCTACAACTCAGAGGAAATTGTTACCACGGTGTAACAAATGAATATTCCAACACAATATTCCTTCGAAAGTTTATCGGATATAGGAGATGATACATTGAGCGACCACGAAGAAACAGAATTCATTACAATCCGAAAAAGAAAAAATCGTTCACTGTCCAACTTGTCAGAATCAGATTCCTCTCTCTTCAATTTAGAGAATAATATAACGCCGGGCTCGGCTAAAACATACCAGTCCTGCCATAGTTTACAAGATGTCGCCTCTGCAGACCTAATATGCAACGAAGATGTGAAGGCAACAAATACAAAACTAAAGAAAGAGCTAACCAGAGCTAATTCTGAAATAGACAATTTAAATATAAAAAATAAATTATTACAAGAAAAAAACAATGAGCTGCAACATATCATTGACATGTTCATGGTAAAGAATGGTAATGCAACTATAAACATGAATGAAAAAGGGCCATATAAATCTACACCATTATATAGTAAAAAACGAAACAATATCGTGACGAATAATTCAAAAGTCACTAACAACTTAAAACCTACAGAGTTATTGTCAAGAGCAAAAGATAAACAACTAGATACCTATTTACAAGCTGGAACTAGTGCTGCTGCAAAAACTCCACCTCGAGAGCGCGGGCTAAACATGTCCCGGAGCCAAGACATGCAACATCTAGACCCAAAACAAGAGCAAGAGCATAAGTCGAAGCTGTGCCTCATAAGCAGTATTGAACGAAAAAGCTTTGCTGCAGCGTTAAGGAAAACTTTCAGTACTTATGAAATGTGTCATTATCGTATGCCGATCGGTGGTGTGCGGCAGTTACTGTACGGTCTGCAACATAAACTTATAGACTTTACATTTTCTGACTATTGTGTGATAATGGTTGGTGAGACTGATTTTAGGGTGTCTAATGATTATTCTAATGTAGTACGATTTGTAAAACAGGCTCTGTTATTAGGAAAACATACTAATATTGTTTTGTGCCGAATAACCTATAAACTATCTTATACTGCAAACATATATAATGACAGAATTGAAGCCTTTAATAACTTACTTATTAATGATAATCAGATTCACCGATATTGTTACGTTTTGGATTCAAATAAGAATCTTCAATACTCCTTTCGATTATTTTCCCGGTTCAATGGTCATTTAATTAATCAGGGTTTTAAAATTGTTATTAATGATTTGTGCAAATTAGTGTCAAAGATTACTAAAGAATTAGTACATAGTAATACTTTGGTAGAAGACTCTGTAACTGTTCTGTCCGCAATTGGTAGTTCCTTTCGTTCCTAAATATTTCACTATAATGTGCCAAAATATACAATGTCTTACAAATAAAATAGATAAACTGAATATCTTATTATCTGAATTCAATATTGATGTGATCGTTATGTGTGAACATTGGTTACGGCCCAGTAATTATCATTTTTACTCTTTGGAGGGCTACGATCTGGCAGCTAAGTATATAAGACAAAACCATAAACATGGCGGTGTCGCTATTTTTACGCGGGAATCCATCAAAACTAAAGAAAGGCTTGATAAACAATCATACACTGTCGAGTTTGTTGTAGAATTCTGTGGGATAGAGATTCCTGAAATGATCATGTTAATAATATCTGTTTACCATCCTGAACGAAATAGGGAAGTGGAAACATTTTTCTCTCAAATGCAATCATTATTGGAATACGTCACAAAACATAATATTAATAAAAAAATAATTATGGGGGGCGATTTAAATATTGACATTACAGTTAATACACAAATATCACGCAGATTTATTAACCTTCTAAAGAGCTTTGGTTTGCGCTGTATTAATAGTTTTCCTACACGAATAACACCAACCACTTCATCTTGTGTTGACCAGTTCATGGTTGGAATGAACGTCAATATGCTCACTGAGGTTCATCACAACCAGTTGTCTGATCATAGTACCCTCATGGGTCAGATATTACTCGATAGTGATGTTAATGAAAACACTACTACTGTAAAGAAAATAAAACATAAACGATTATTCAGCAGGAAAAATATGGACAATTTTAGAAGAGCATTAAGTACAGTCAATTGGCAACGGGAGTTATCTACAAGCAATAATTTAGACGAAAACTACGGAGTGTTTCAATCTATAACTAGAGTTCTTTTAGACAAATACATACCAATAAAAGATTTTATCTTAAAAAATAAAGTTAAAACAGTGTGGGTCACTAAGGGTATAAAAAAATGCTGCTATCACAAGAGAATATTGCGTTACCTAACAACTAAATTCAAAAACGATTCCTTAATTCAATACCAAAAATTATACAGCAAAATATTAAAAAGAATTATTCAAACTGAAAAACGTAAATATTTTATACACAGAATTACAACATCTAAAAATAAATACAAGACTATGTGGACCATAATCAACGAAAGGATAAAACCCCTCAAGAAAAATAGACAACACAACATAACTATAAATCATAACAATAAAATAATTACATGCCCAAAGACCATAGCGAACCTATTTAATAACTATTACATTAGTATCGGCAAAAACGAAAACATTTATAAGCCTAAAGTACAGAATTTAAACACACTTGTGAACTCTTTTTATCTGGATGTTGTCACTGAGGCAGAGGTAAAGAAGGCTATTTTGGGCCTAAAAAGGAACAATACATGCGGATACGATGACATACCGGCCACATTAATAATTCATTGTGTGGATGAGTTTGTATTCCCTTTAACGTACTTAGTAAATCAATCCTATGAACAAGGAATTTTTTTCCTCAATTCTTGAAACAAGCTATAATTGTACCCATTTTTTTTTTTTTTGAAAATGGGTACGTTAAAGGGAATACAAACTCATCCACACAATTCATTGTGTGGATGAGTTTGTATTCCCTTTAACGTACTTAGTAAATCAATCCTATGAACAAGGAATTTTTCCTCAATGCTTGAAACAAGCTATAATTGTACCCATTTTCAAAAAAGGCGATAAGTCTAAAGTAGTCAATTACCGTCCCATAGCCATACTATCAGTTATATCAAAAATTATTGAAAAAATAGTATGTAAACGAATTTACAGGTTTTTTGAGAAATACAAGGTGCTTAATAAGAATCAGCATGGTTTTAGAAAGAAATTTGCGGGCTGCTGCAAGGTGGTGACCTTAAGCTATAGTGAACATAGTTATAGTTTTGTCGGACGTCGATCTATAGCCACTAATCTTATAAACTTCACAGAATCATTGATGCAGGTAGTTAATTCAGAAAAAAAGTATGGCGTCAATTATACTGATTTCTCAAAGGCCTTTGATAAGGTTTCAGACGCTCTACTATTAAACAAATTAACTGTATATGGTATAGAAGGCTCCTTTCTCTCATGGTACAAAGTTTATTAATATTTTAATTTATGTAATATAATAATTGCATTTCTTTCGGTAAATAAATTGTTGTCGCTCCAACTAATGCATGCGGAGCTAACCTGTAAGTGTCTGCTACAGTCACTTTCCATGATCATAATGTAATTTAGGTTAAGTTTTACTGTAAACAGTCTGAATTCGCTTGTAAAATTTCTCAGGTAAATCATTATTTTAATTAACCTATAAAAAAAGGAAATCATAGACTGTTGTCAAATTAAGTTATTAAACTTAGGGAAACATCTGAGAATCAGACCCAAAATCAAGTTATGAAATTTTAATATTATCCAATTTTACTATAAAATTATAGACATTCTACTATTCCTGTGTTGGAAAATCCATCTTTTTATTTTTATACTAAACGAATTGATAACGCCGATAACTGTTACATTAGTACATAAAATACATCACATAATGTAAGACGTTAACGGTCTAACTACCAATAAGTGTTTAGCATAATTGTTAAATGACATTTTTTTTAACACGTGTTGAACGTATGTCCATCTTTTTTGTGGTACCTAATAAGGTCGGTGCTTTTTGTAATTTACGGATTGTTTTTATCGTTATTCGTATTTTCCATTCTATAAAAAGTGAAGTGAAGACTCAACATGTTTATGTACTCGTATATAGCATGACCAATAATTTAATTTAATTAATTAATTGCACATGTACAGTATATATAGGATCTAAAAATTATTTTAGCGTGGTACATGACCCGGTCATGGTGTTATAAGTACAATATCTATATCAACACAACTACTAAACAGTTTCAGTTTCAAACAAGTTAGTGAGCTTTCCGTGACGGTTGCACATAGTCATTCATAAATTCATTTACCGAAAAGTATGCTTTCTTAATAAGATGTTGTTTGAGTTTCATTTTAAATGTATTTATGTTGCTTTCTCTTTTAATTTCTTTTGGAATTTTATTATACAGGGCGTTACAAAAATACAAATAAAGCTTGAAGGGCGTTGAAGTACATCGTATAAGGAGTCTTCTCTAATTTTCTTAAAATATTTGCAAGAAGTTTGAACTTTTTATAAAAACAGTTATTTTTAATGATTAATAATAATATTGATAATTTTAAGACACGTCACTAGTTCGAGGTCATACACCTTACCAGGAGTAGCAATAAATCTGCTGTAATAAAGAAAATTAGAGAAGATTCCTTATATGATGGATGTAACACCCTGTATATTAGAATTAAACGTTAATACTAAATTAAATTTATATTGCGGATTTTTATTGAATGTAAAATAATTATGTTGGTTGTTTGCGAACAAATAATGCTATTTCCATTTTATTAAATAAGTTGGTCCATGTATGTTATAAAAATAGGGTTGGCATTTGACTAAATATTTGGTACGTGTATATAAACTTTATGGTAACAACAATTAAAATTCAATAGGAATAATGAAAGGAGATGTCCTCTTTTTACAAGGAGCTTGGTTTTTTGTTATAAGAATAAACTAACGAACACCAAACTACATTTAATTAAAAGCCATAAAAATATGAAGTATAAAACCAATGCACAAATTATTTTAGCCATTCCCAATTATTTTTAAATAAATAAAACGTATTACTTTGATAAAAGAAAAATTTTACTAATGGCAGCACTATAAACATGTTTTTGTACTAATCTGTGGCTATGGCTAGTGGTTGTCACTGTCAAGCATTTTTCGTTGAGTTGAATTTTCTGCTTTCTCGTGCATGTGGTTTTTCTTGTTTTCGCGATTGTTTTTAATTACGGGCGTATTGGTTTTCTCCAACTGGATTTTCGATTTGTACATGATTTGGACACCTTTAGCATTTTCAACCCTGACGACTTGGATATATCACAACGGCTATTCCATTTTGCACCCGATTAAGATCTCACCATTTTATATCTCTCCTTTTTTATCGAATAAGCTTTGCATTATTAGTTCATTAAGCACGGTAAAAGGAAACACACCTACAGACTTTTCATTCCTTGAAAAATAATTTTAATACCTAATGTAAACAAGTCATTTTCCTAATTAGATATGTATCTAATTGATATGAATGCATTGATGAAAATAAATGCGTGTAACATGGGTTTATAGCTTGGCTAACATGGAGCTTAGAAGCTCACATATATTACATTAATCAATAAATTATTTATTTAGAAATTGGTATGTACCAAGTAAGTACGGTATGCACATATTCATAAATTCTAAACTATGGCGGATGACACTGACAGCCAGTAGGTAAAGACTTGTTTGTCACCTGTCAGTTGACTTTTTTTTTACTGGCTTTAGATTACATGAATTTAGTAACTTGCAGTGCCTAACTCCCTAGACTTGGTTAGTTAAAACTTCTCAAAATAAAAGAATATTAGGTTATTTCATTCAAATAAGTGTATTCTTAGATTTTTTATTTGATTGTTGATCATTTTTTTCAAGAAAATGTGTCAGTATGCCGTTAAACGTAATTGCATTTTCATGAAACTAAAGTACGAATTTATAAAAAACGGTAATCTCGAAAATTAAATGACTTACAGATATAAGTTACTTTTAGGGCCCTCTAATTAATAGCAATTAATATATGCAAGTTAGTTACTATAGCCCAATACAGGACATCTCCTTTCTACCAAATGTTTTCCCCAAATGATAGATACTGATTTATATGAAACATACCTACTTTGCATGTTAGTGCTTGCTCACCTACTTTTAATGTAGTCCTTAACAAACAATAAGTATATTTTTGAAGTGAAACTTCTTTATCGGCGTTGGAAAAAAATTTACCGTCACATTTTTCGGTTACGCGTCACATTTTTCCGTTACGCGCCATCTTTTTTTATATTAATAGTTGATAGCTGAATGATCACACTGTCGCCGGCGAGAACTCTCTCTACTCGTTTGTAGCTGAGTGACAATAGTTATTAAAGATAAGACTCGCTCAGCCAAACTCGCATAGCGATACTCGCTCAGCGATACTCGCTCAGCGATACTCGCTCAGCGATACTCTCTCAGATATACTCGCTCAGCGATACTCGCCCAGCGATACTCGCTCAGCGATACTCGCTCAGCGATTCTCGCTCAGCGATACTCGCTCAGCGATACTAGCTCAGCGATACTCGCTCAGCTATACTCGCTCGGTTAAGCTGGCTTGGCTGTCAAAAGCCGTGCGCGTGCATTTTAACTCAGGACTGCCAATTCGTTTCTAGTTTCTACTCGCTTATCGTTGCCTTAGATTACTGAGCCGTGTAATCATAACAGTTTCATAGGCAGTAATTTGTATTCATGTCTATGATAATAAAATCCTTTTGTTTAAACTTTATCTAATTTAACTTTATTGAACCAATTTCTGGAAAGTTGCATGTAGATCATTTTTCGAAAAATAAGGCCATAAAGAAGTTTCACTTCTTACGTGTGTACACTAGTACACGCACACATTTTTTTCTATTGTGTGAATTTAGAAGCTCCTTCGTGCCTTAGAAGTCAGGTTAAAACGTTGGCTTCAGATGCATCTCCCGTTCTTAGCACCCACCAAACCGCATTGGGCCCTCCGCTGTCATCAAAAGGAAGGTCTGTGCACCTACAATGCGGATGTAAATGGTCTGATGATAAGGTGTCATTATAAATACAAAACTTAGAATGAGCTAGCGGCCATTTCGTTGCAGTATCAGACACAGCAGAAATGGAAATGGGCTGGCCACGTGTATAGAATGGACTTTAAATAACTGTAGGTGAACTTGTAAGGTCACTGATAGGATACTAAGAGAAGGACAGGGAAGTGGAGGAAGACCGAAAAACGATGGGAGGGCTATTCAAACAAAGAGCCGGACTAGACTGGAGAACTAAGGCAATAGAGAAAACTGGAGGGTGCTGAGGGATGTCTACATCAAAGAGGCAACATGCTCAAGTGATGAAACTTATTAAATTCATAAAAAGTTTGCATGATGAATTTGTAATAGAATAGACTATTTCATAATACAAATAAACAACACAAAATCATAACGAATTGTTTATTTATAAAAAGTACATTAATTGGCACATTTGCTATTGTTTCATCGAGTGTTTATTACAAAATATATAAAAATAGGTAGGTACATTATTATTAGCTGAAAACGGATAAGAACCTACTGGTACTATACAATAATGTCAAAAAAATACTAAAACTTAAATGAAAAAATTTACTTGTTAAATCCAATATAAAAGTCCAGAACCTGAAATAAGTCATTGTTTCTCAAACCTAGTGATTGTAACCACGAAGAGAGTCAAGTGAATAAGTAATAAGAGTAAGTACTCAAAAAATAAGAGTGTCCACTAGTAGAAAATTTACTAATTCTCAATTCAACTAAAATTAGATTTAGTTTAATCAATTATCAAATTGAAATTGACGTTTTGATATTATTCTATGGGATATACATAGTTTTAGTAGAATTGAGATTTTGCAAATTTGATGCAAGTGGGCCTTTAATAATTAGTTTTAGAACTAGCAGCCAATTTGCACCTGACAGATTTTTATAAAGTTAATTAAGAGATACAATACAACACAGTATGTTTACATAAAAATATCAATGTAAACCAGAAAAAGATCTCCAGAGTTTTCTTACATGTCACGGGGTCACGTCCAAATAAAAATAAAAAAGAAAATAAAAAGAGTTTGTCAAACAATGACTCAATTCTTTAAAGAGTATTTCCACGGCATAAAGTAGCATTCATACAGTGAGTCGACGTCTATAATCTAGAATAAAATGCTTTAAAGTTGCAGTTGTTCTGTAGTATTGCCGCATTGTTTAGTATCGGGAGTAGACTTCGGGCTCGTATCCCTTGCCGGCTACCTTTTCGTCGATCCAGTGCCGCAGTACGGAGACATCAACGTACACGCCGGGGGTGCCGTCTTCCCCGCACCCGATACCCCACGCGACCATGCCATTCTGCACGTATCTGTCGTTCTGGAACTGTAAAAATTGGGTTTGAGTTAGAAAAAATATTAATCTAAATATATCAATGGAAAACCCAATTGCCTCTGACAAAAAAGGAAAGAAAATTAATAAAAACACATTTTCTAAATTAAATTTATTTTCAAATCAATTCAATTATTGTTAAGATATAAAACAAACACAGTAAGTAAGTATCTTTACATTAAAATATTAAAATAAACCACAAAAATATCCGCAGACTTTTTGCACGTCGCGGGGTCACGTCCATTAAAAGTTTGAAAAACAGTGGCTTATTTCTATAGAGTATTTTATTTCCACAGTATAAGGTGGCATTTATACAGCAAGTCGTCTTCTATTATCCAGAGTCAAACGCTAAAGAAAAAAGCTAACAGAAACCAAAAAAAAAACAAGCCGTAAATACTCATCACAGTCAGTCCGGATTTTGTGACTTTTGAAGTTAAGCAATTTTCTCTGTGACCGATCACAGGGTGGGTTACAAAAATTTAATATCTCGAGCTCCTCCGTGCTTCAGAAGGAAGGCAGGCCGTTGGTTCCGCATGCATCTGCAGTCGTTAGCACCCATCAATCCCCGTGTTGGGTCAAGGCCCAGTCTTCTTATTCCATCCATAGTGAAGGCCTGTGCCCCCGCATTGGGAGCATAAATGATGATAAAACTAACTTCTATAGGGCAGTTGAGGGGAGAGCCACCGTCTCCCTTGCAAGTGTCCTTGCCGGCCTCTCCTCCAGCACACATGAAGGTGGAGTGCAGCTCAAACAACCTCCCCAGTCTCGTCTTACGGAGCGAGTCGCGGCATGACTTGTGCGATACCACCGGTAACTCGATCTGTGGAAAGAATTCAACATCTTGCTGCATGAATAAAATAGTGAATAAAAAAATATTTGCTGTAATAGGCTAGTTGACTCATGTCAAATTGCACTATACAAATGTTTATTTCTTATAATTTTTGGTATGAGGAACCTAAATACATCGATTTCACTTCATAAAATTAGAAGATGGCTGTAGTAATTTAATTTGAAAAATAGTTTTTTAGTCTATGGTTTTTAAACACTAAAAACGCTGTCCACCATAATTGTGACGTCAACATAATAGCAAAACAACTAAACGTCATTGTCATGTTACTGTGGTTTCTTTCGTCCGACTAAAATATATCTAAAAACTCTTATATCTTGAAGAAAACTTTCCGTTTATTGGTTTTCTTTACTAAATTAATGCTGGACGCCGGATTTGTGAAAGCAGAAACGACAAAACTCTTTGACTTAGCAGGTACATTCATAACCTTAAAAATTGAAACCACATTTCTGGAGTTTTTAACTATGTGTTTCTTTATTCTTGTATAATACAATCATGATAATTCCTATATTTATCATGAAATCTATTAGAAATCGTGGTTTTGCAATGTAAATTCAGATATCCTATGTGCTTGAGAGTGTTTGTTTACTATTGTTCCCGTCATACCATAGATAATCTATAGACTAAAATAGCCGACAGCGTTTTTGTATGTCCATGAACAATCTATTTTAAAATTTTTTGTAGCTTTCTAGGTAAAAAAGAAGTACATTTTTTTTCGGTCTAATTGAACAATTATTAACTATTTAAAACATATTTACAAAAAGTGTCAACTAGCCTATTGTGGTTACAATGATGTTTTTTAAATTAAGGTCAGAGCTCACAATTAGCCGTTGCCATCATGCAAAAAACCAATTGAAATGTAGGATTTAAAGTTATGTTATTATATGTCTAACAATCCGCACTGGGCCCGCGTGGTGGGTCATGGCCCAATCTCCCTATTTCATCTATAGCGAATGCCTGTGCCCCAGCATTGGGGACATTAATAGACTGATGATGTCTAATTTCATTACATATTTTTGGATATTAAAAAAAACTAATAAATTATGACAAAATGACAAAAGATATTAAAGTAGGTAATATGACTGACTATCAAAATGTTTATTTTTTTATAGCTCGGTAGGCAAATGATTCATAAGATGCGACTTTAGTCATGACAACAAGAATCTACGTATTATAATGTCATTCTCTCCAGAAGAAAGGACGATGAAGTTATTATCATCATACCGACCTTTTGTCTTACCACTGACCTTTTTAAGTATGACCTGGTAGCGTCCCTCCTTGCCGAACTTGTCCTTGCCCCAGCCGGTGGCGAAGCACCTGGTGCCGGGGGTCGCCTTCTGCATGGGCGGCGGCAAGCACGCCACCCCCACGTTAGGCGCCAGGTCCATGGGCTGCGTCAGGAACAACAACGCGATATCGTAGAACAGATTACCTGACGAAAAAAATGAATCAGTTATATTTAAAATCAAATTTGTTTATTGCTTTCGAAAGTAGAGCGCAGATGGGTCACTATAAGTAGTAATCATCGACACAGTATTTTGATATAAGTGGTCCTTGGTAGTCTCTCTCCTAAAGGGTTACTGGCTTTCGCTACCAGAAAATTAAGCCTTTTCTTCATTAAAGATTTGATTGTTTTTAAGCAACGATCTGGGGGCCATTCGCCGTTAGGATTGCTTTGGAAAACGCTATCGCTTACAATTTCATTTTGTTATTTCTAGCCACCTGAGGTTTTCAAATGCCTCGCGCTCTTTTTTTTCTTTTGCATTGGTAATAACAATATTAAAGAAAATGAGCGTGCTGGTCTTAGCTGAAGCACGCAAACTCAAATAATGCCTATTTACTCTTGCCTTGAAGGTTCCTACACACATATATGTATCGGGGAATACAGACGCAGACAGGGAGTTCCATTCCCTAGCAGTTCGCATGATAAAGGAGAATGCGAATCGTGAGGTACGCACCAGAGGTATGTCAACCACGTTCAGATGAAGACCCTCTCCACATCTCGCCGTCCAATGGTAAAATAGTCCGGTATTTTTAATATTGACAAATATAAGTAACCTCCATTGAAGTCCTTGTGGATAATCACGGATCCTATATCACGATCCTGATAAGGGTAGATCTCCTTAGTGGTCTGCGTGTCCGAAGGCGCGGACTCGCAGCTTGTTGGCGTTAGCCACGTAGTAGGCGGTTTTCAGCACCACACTCGGGTGGATCAGGAATTAACCTCCATTGAAGACTTTGTGTATTTCTATTGTTACCACATCGCGGTCCCGGTAGAGGTAGGTCTCCATGGTAGTCTGGATGTTGCTGATCTTGCCCATTAGGGAAGATCTGTGTCTAAACCATAGACAGAAAAAAGGACTAAGCGACATCATCATGGATTTGACAATTCTCAAGAAAGAAAGGAAAAGAGCCAATACCTATTCGTATACTATGAGACTATGGGCCAACCCATTGCTTGCGAACGAGTATTCACACTTTTGTATTACTTTAAAGTTGGACTGGAAACGCTCAATCCATTCTTATTGGACAATAATGAATTTACCTCCATTAAAGTCCTTTTCTGATTGACAGTTTCCACGTGGCGATTCTAGTAGAATAGATAATAGATATATTTAGAAATAGATCCTCCACCAACGTACACGTTTAGTTGTTGACCGTTCACATCTGTAGCGCTAACTGGCACTCCAATTCGAGCAGAAAATCGACTATGACCTCTCTTGTTAATTTTTAACATATAAAAAACCATAAGTTTAACTGGTTGTCAGCGTAGCTAATATGTATATCTATGCCAAATAGCAGCTTCCTAGTCTATTAGCTAAATTGCGGAGAGACCGATAGATAGACAAGGCGAAAATAAAATGAAGGTTCCTTGACTAACGCGATGGATTAAATGCCGGAGTCTTGGTAGGAGCAGATATCCTTGGTATTTTCTGTCCTTCGTGTTGTTGGCTTTGGCTTCCAGAATATCCTGATTTTTTTCTACTATTGAGAAATAAAACTAACCTCCATTGAAGTCCTTGTGTATGTCAACAGATCCCACGTCGCGGTCCTGATAGGGATAGATCTCCTTAGTTGTCTGCGTGTCCCATTCGCCGGCGCGGACTCGCAGTTTGTTGGCTTTAGCCACGTAGTGGGCGGTGGTCAGCACTACGCTGGGGTGGATCAGGGATCCTCCACCAACGTACACGTTTAGTTGTTGACCGTTCACATCTGTAGCGCTAACCGGTTCGATCCTGGGAAATGAAACTTGCTTTAAACTTTCATGGTCACTAACATCATAGCTATTAACGGGATTGTTGCCATGTACGGATGGTTACTCCGTGATCATGGCGCTTGCAACAGTGCCGAAATATCGGAGACTCGTAAAAAACAAGGTACGTGGTAGCAATCCCGTTAATAGATATAAGTATAATGAAACTTGTTGATTATAGCATTCATTATTATAAATGTTTGAATGTAAATAAAATTTTAAACATGGCCTGGGTGGTTTCCTCTTCTAGTAAAATATTCGTAATATATAATGATACTGATAGTCTGATTAGGGTGTTACAAAAATACAAATAAAGCTTGAAGGGCGTTGAAGTACATCATATAAGGAGTCTTGTCTAATTTTCTTAAAATATTTGCATGAAGTTTTAACTTTTTATAAAAACAGTTATTTTTAATGATTAATAAAAATATCGATCATTTTAAGACACGTCACTAGTTCGAGAATCATTTATAAAAAGTTTTTATAAAAAGTTAAAACTTCATGCAAATATTTTAAGAAAATTAGAGAAGACTCCTTATATGGTGTACTTCCACGCCCTTCAAGCTTTATTTGTATTTTTGTAACATCCTTTATATCAGACTATAATGCTTGGGTTGAAACTGTTCCAAACGTTCCAACAGGCTGTTTCTATATTAATGATAAAGATGACCTAACTTTGTATTGACACTGTAACAATATAATACATTGTAAATGTTGTTACAAGATTTGAAGCTGCGAAGTTTTTTTCGCCCCTTTTTCTCCACAGCTATAAAAATGTCCTTAACGGGTGGTAGGGAAAAAAATACGGACGATTCAAAAGAGTTGTCAAGGGGCGAAAAAAACTTCGCAGCTTCAAATCTTGTATCTTCCAATTTTAATAAAGATATTTTGAATTGAATTGGATTGAATTGAATTAACTCACTTCAAGATGGCCACCATCCATGGGAACTCTCCGAACTTGGACTCTCCGTCCACATCTCCCGTCGTACGGAAACCCACACCCTGGGGATTTCTCCATCCGCAACCTTGTTTCTGTGAAAAGATCATTAAACAATACAATAATACTTTCGGGATGATGACTGTAATGCTTCTGTATTGTCGCCGGATTTATTTTTATGTTAAAATGGTGGTAAAAAGGCGTATGGCCCACGTAGTGTCCGGCCACCATAGCCTAGCATAGATGCTTGCGATACTCAAAATAGCAGCGTTTTACCTGAAATAAAACGCATATTAAACTACTTACCTAATTCGAAGCTTATTATGAGATAGGCACTTCCGTTTCCGTCGACTTTTGTCTCATTTGACCTACTCTTTTGGTTCACTTCCGGTGAACCTCCCGCCATCACCAGGGGTGGGGAGATGCGCTTACGTGTTGGCGCGCTCGCCATTTTGAATCATTGTGTCGAATTCACCAGGCAGTGCTGGAAAGTAAGCTTCGAATTAGGTAAGTAGTTTAATATGCGTTTTATTTCAGGTAAAACGCTGCTATTAAACCACTTGACCGTAATTCGAAGCTTATTATGAGACGTGTTTGTTATCGCCTGGTGATGGAGTGTACGCCAATGTGAATAAAAGGGAATATTTAGAGAAATTAAAACCAAGACTTCATAATATAATCATTATAATTAGTAAAGCGATCAACATAACTTTGAATCATATAATTAGTGAATCAGATCATTGTACTGGATTAAATAAATTAGCAACCGATAAACTTGAATTTTCCGTATCGCCATCAGTCAGGACCTCACGCCGGTAGAAACGTTTGAATGTATTTGCAGACTTCCAATTACCGCGTGCCAGAATGTCTTCTAAGGGAAAGTTGTCCAACCAATTACGAGAAGCAACCGCTGAACGTACACTGCCTGGAGTGGCTAGAATATTTGCCTCTTTAAGTATCGTCCGAATCCATCCCGCAATAACCGTACGAGAAGCTGGCTTGGCCTCTCCTCGTAAGGTAATAAACAAACTATTGGAATCTGCCTTTTTACGTCTTTCGTCTAATAACGATATAACATTATCAATCCAAACCACTGGGTCAAGTTTAAGATTAGACGGATTTGAAAAAAGTTTCCATCCGACTGTCGTTGATCACGACTATCTGTTTTAGATCCAAATACGGGCCACAAAATTATTGAATTATCAGATCTGATACAATGCTTCGAATCTATATTAAGCAAAGTTAGGTCATGGATACGCCTACCAGAACACAGTAGTAATATGATTGCTGCATGCCGTACAGCTTTAAAGACATTAGTAAAATCAAAAGAATAGGTAGACAAAAAGGTTAAAAGCATTTTTACATCCCAAACAGGAGGTTTGTCAGTTTTTGGGTTAGTCAGAGCTATTGACTTCATTATGTGCTTGACAAATACGTGAGAACTTAAATTATTTGAAGAGCTTGTATCACTAAGTGTTGAGACGACGGACTTATGTAACTGAATAGTATTAAATGACAATTTATACTTTAAATGCAAATCCGCCAGAAACTTAGCTAGTTCAGAGGCGGATGGTTTTATAGCACTGATTCTATTTGTTTCACACCAAGACAACCAGCGATTCCAGGCAACTTTGTATGTTTTGAGTGTGGAGGAACGCCAAGAAGATTTTAAGAGCGATAACTGCTTGTCATCCCATCCTTTTAAGTCTTTTGTCCACCCCCACATTTCCAAACCTCCAGAGTTATGTCCTCTATTCTCGCTGGTGGAAGGCCCGTCGACACGTCTATTAGTTGTTGCTTCAGATTGTATAATGTGAACGGTGGCGCTAGGGCTCGGGCTTTTAGGTCTGCTCTCCAAAATACCTTTGTCCACCTGGGTACCACTATAAGGTATATCCCCGAGGCTTGGTTCAAATGAGCCAGTACTTTGGGAACTAGAAATGGCGGCGGGAATATCCATGCCAACAGATAATTCCAACGTACGCTGAACGCATCGTGTACCAATGCTTTCTGGTCTGTTATATCCAGGGTTCCGTAGTTTGAAAGAACATGAGCCTGTCTTGATGCGAACAGGTCTATTACCGGAGTTCCCCATTTCGCAAACACTTTTTCTACGCAACTGGGAAGCAGGTGCCACTCTGGAGATTTCTGAAGTCGGGACAGATGATCGGCGTGACCGTTGAAGATCCCAGGAATATGGTGTATGCGAAACTGAATTCGATGCTGATCCATAAGTTGTAAAATTTGGTATGTTATGTCCAGACAAGCAAGGGATTTCGTGCCCCCCTCTTTGCGTAAATATGAGACGACTGTCCGATTGTCGCATTGAATTAGCACCATACTTTCTTTGATTAAACCAGCATGCATTTGAACTACCTTCAGTATTGCTAACATTTCTTTTTGATTTGAATGCATTTTTCGTTCTTTCTCCGTCCATGCACCCGATAGTAGAAGATTGTTTAAACGTGCTCCCCACGCAAGATCTGACGCATCTGTTGTCAAAAAATGTGCTGGAGGAGGATGGTGTAACACACTGTATTGAGAACAATTCTGAATCCACCATATTAGTTCTACTTTGACCTCGGGCGGCAAAGGACAATGCCTCGTGGAATGCTTTGAGAAGGAATTCATAAATCTCAGAGTTCGCCGATGATTGAGTCTGCCCCGGGGTATGACAAAACTGGCAAAATTGAAAAGACCTACTATTTTTTGCAAGTCTTTTAGGTTGGCCGATCCTTTTCGTAGTAACTGGTTGCTTTTTTCCCTGATGGTGACCGATTTCTCTGTTGGTAATGACATCAGATTGGTCCATGGATCCCAAAGCACACCGAGGTAAGTAATGCTTTTTTGTGGAGTTAATATCGACTTTTCTGTGTTTATGCACCATCCCAGAACTTTCAGAACCTCTATCAGATTTTTTTACCTGTTTTTGCAAGATCGACGCATTTTGATTTACAATCAAAAGGTCGTCTAAATATACCAGGATCCTTACTGATCTTTCTCGCATGTATTGCGCAATCCAATTCGTGAGAGTAGCAAAAACCTTTGGTGCTGTGCAAAGACCGAAAGGTAAGCATGTTATTTCGAGTAGTTCCCCCTCGTAAACTACTCGCAAGAATCTTCTGTGAGATTTGGCAACAGGCAGATGAAAATATGATTGGGAGAGGTCTACCTTGCATAACCAGTCCTTGGGTTGCAGGAAGTCTGGTATTCTGTGCATATTTATCAAACGGAAACGATCGGTCAGCACGTATTGGTTTAGCCTCTTCAAGTTGAAGATGGGTCTGGAAGTCCCATCGCTTTTGGGGACCAAAAACATCGGTGAGACAAAACTTGGGGATGGCTTTACTGCAGTCAGTACACCTTGAGTTTTCAATTTGTCTATAATTGCAGACATTTCTTTTGAAGGTATGGTTTGATGTGGAGTTTCGTGAACATTGACAGTGATTAAGGGTGGTACTTGAGCAAAGGGTATGCGGTATCCTTTTAATAATTTCAGAATTGCAATCGGTGCTCCCATTTTTGTCCATTGATTGTAATACTGTACTAACCGGCCGGCGTAGAACTGTTGAAAGTCATTGTCTCCGCTTTTTAGGATTTCCTTTGTGATTTGGCGGGGAATAATGTCTCTTACGATTCCCTCGCTGTGAGTTATACATTCCACGTTCAGGCCGTGAGCCATGGTTGCGAAATGACCCTCTACCACTGGTACTAGCTCTAGGTATAGAATTATTGTCATAAGGCTGCTCTCGCGAAGAGCATTGGTGACCACACTGACCCTGCGAGGGTAAGTCATTATGTATCATCGCATTACGCGCTTGATCTCGGTAATTGTGAGATTGATTACCATGCGATGGCAATTTGTAATGGCTCGAACCCCGCGAGGGTCGGTTTGAAAATCTATCTGCTCTAAGCGAAGAGTTTGTAGTTTTGCCATCCTTAATCAATGGCCAAAATACTTTACGCACTCCTCCAGCTTTTTCCAAAATTGATGTAAAACTTTCCGGATCGAATAAATACCCCGGCGATGGAGGTATTTTAATTAAAGCAGTTTTTAACAAAGGGTCTCGAACCTTCTTTATTATCATATCTCTGCGCATTTCAATGGCTTCTGCTCTATGGCCACAAAGCATTTGTAAGAGATCGGTAGAAATTTTCAAATAATCGCCGGTACAAAACAATTCATTAATTTTATCATTAAGCGAAGAAAAATTACAATCAGAATTTTTGGCCCACGTAAGTAAACTGCTGAGAGAATTTTCTAATATCTCCTTTTGTTTTAAAAAACAAAAGGTTAAAGCAGCATAAGACTTGTCTGCATATGCTAAGTGCCGGGAGGTATCATAGGCGCTGATCTCATCATTTACTTCTAGTTCAGTGAACCCGGGGGTGTGTATGTATGATTTCTGAGTATCAACATAACGAACCTCTGACCAAGACTTTTCATTAAAGTGTTGAATTTCGAGAAGCATTTTTAAAAAATTATCCGGTGTTTTGGGAATGGATGATTCCTTAAGCTTAGTCTCTAATCCTAATGTCACTTCATTATAATTATTAGAAAACGTATAATGAGTATCGCTGCAATTGTTATCATATAACATCCCGCTAACTCCAGAGCTTACGGAAACATTATCCTCGTAATGCATCGCATCAGAATTAGAATGCGTAATAAATTTTTTCAACTCACCCATCTCCTTGGTTAATTTTTCAAGTACACTATTAGAAAGTCGGTTACTTTTATTTTTCTTATGCCGGTGACGCTTACAACGTTTTCGTTTTGGAATACTTGCTTCAGAACAGGAACTTATAGTATCACTTGTACTGGAGTCACTGCAGCTAGTGGAGTCACCATTAGCCTTATTTACATTTTTAAGTTCCGATAAATTTCCAACGTTATTACTGAAATGGGAAAAGGTTAATACAACTGTTCTGTTCATAAAATAATATATGTAGCAAATTCTATAAAATAAATAAGCCACACTAAAAACATAATATTTTCGTGAACTATAAAAACGAATGACCGCCATTTGAAATAAAAATCGAACTTTAAAACCATTAAAGATAAGAGGTTTTTATTAATTGTTACTTAAAAGGAAAGATAATAATATTCAGTGCACAATTAAAATTAGTAGGTCAATGAGTTTCTACAAAAACAAAATGATTTTGCAAAGAAATCATTAAAAACGAGCGGTAAAACCGTTATAAATATAAGAGTACTTACTCAGTCATTATTAATAACGAATCGTACGTTATTTTACCTTATTATATTTTTAATACAGACACTTGAGAGTGAAAATATTAATATTTAGTATAAAGTTCGCTGCGCACAAGTTCACTCGACGGAAAACAAAACGCCAATGATTCAAAATGGCGAGCGCGCCAACACGTAAGCGCATCTCCCCACCCCTGGTGATGGCGGGAGGTTCACCGCAAGTGAACCAAAAGAGTAGGTCAAATGAGACAAAAGTCGACGGAAACGGAAGTGCCTATCTCATAATAAGCTTCGAATTACGGTCAAGTGGTTTAATATCACTGTTGCCTACCCTAACTCAATTCCCTACCCCTTGGAGCCCTGGGACCTTACTCCACGACAGAAACACAAGACCACCAAAAGGCAGGCGCGGTCCGAAGGCGGGGGTCACAGGGGACAAGATACCCCCCCCCCCCCCCCAAATCTAAGGTCAAATTGAAAAATCTCAAAAATTAGCCAAATACTAAAAGGAAATTTCTAGCTATCCCCCCTAACCAGGCGCGGTCCGAAGGGGGGGGGGGGGGTCACAGGGGACATGACCCCCCTCCAAAATCTAAGGTCATCTTGACATTTGGTACAAAGTAACGTCTTATAGTACCTACAGCTGATAAAGAAAAAATTGCGAAAACCGTGAATTTTTAGTTACCTACATCATATAAGAAAAAATATTTTTGAAAATTCAGGTGTGTACGGAACCCTCGGTGCGCGAGTTCGACTCGCTCTTGGCCGGTTTTTTTTATTAGTGTAATGAGTGACCCCCCGCAAAATTTCAGGCTGCAACCGCGCCTGCCCCTAACAGCGATAAATTTATAGTTTGCTGACATCTAGTGGTGTTTTTATGAACTACGTACCTACTATGGCCAAAATCACTTGGAAATGACATCTAGTACTAGTTTAGAAACAAGGAATTTAGTTTTGGTAATTCTAGCAAAATCGACATGCATCGTTCGTCGCAATAATGTTTATTTTATTCCAGATACCTTTTTTTCTTCTTTTTATTAGTGTAGTAAGTGGCCCCCTCCCAAATTTCAGGCTGCGACCGCGCCTTCCAAAAGGAAGTGTTTTTTTTTACCGTGATCTTTTGTAAGGTAACTTCCCCAGACGGGCACTCCAATTCAAGCAGAAAATCGACTATGACCTCTCTTGATCATTAGAAAATCGACTATGACCTCTCTTGTTAATTTTTAACATATAAAAAACCATAAGTTTAACTGGTTGTCAACGTAGCTAATATGTATATCCATATTTGTTTCTTAGGTTTTCACGCACATCTTTTTTTTTACATTTTAATTTTTGAAATTAAATAAATAATTGATTCCGACGACGCGGCCTGTAAAGGCTGCGAAACCTCAATAAATAAATAAAGTTTCGTGCATTAACCTGTGAAAAACTAGTTTTATGTATATTCATACCAAATTACAGCTTCCTAGGCTATTAGCTAAATTGCGGAGAGACGTATAGAAAGACAAGGCAAAAATAAAATGAAGGTTCCTTGTTAAAGGGGGTCCTCATAGAAGCTGGCTCTCAGCTAATTTTTCTGTAACTTTGGCAGATGATAGCTCATAACACGTGGATTAAAAGACCCCATGGGCCCAATGGCTAAAAGTTCATAGATGAGGAGCTACAGCGTGTCAAAGTCGAAAATGTATATATGTATGCATGCAAGCTGGGAGGCTGAACTTACATGGAAAAGCTTATTTCATTCTAGTTTCAATGTAGCTATTCCATTCAAGGATGTATCTGGATTTTCTTTTCTTTTATTCCACGTGTCATGAGCTATCATCTCCCAAGGTTGGCTGAGAGCCGGCTTCTATAAGGACTCTGCGGGGTCCTTTGGAACGTGGAATAAAAGAAAAGAATATCTCATCTATGAAATTTTGGCCATTGGGCCCATGGGGTCTTTATATCCAAATATCATGAGCTATCATCTCCCAAAGTTACAGAAAAATTGGCCGAGAGCCGGCTTTCCATAAGGATTCTGCAAGGTCCTTTGGCACCCTAAAATTCATTTGAGAGGCGTTATGTCACTCAGTAAGGATGATGTAAGGTTTCTAATATCCAAACCTGTTATGACATTAAGAAGTTATGGAAGTACAAATTAACAATGGTACACAAAATAATTATTTAGAGCCTTGAAAATTACATTCCCTTATTGGGCAGTCATGTAAAAATCTTCTTGTCCCAAGTACCGGGAACCAATTGAGTTACTTTTATCTGCTTAAGTTACACTTTTCATTTCTTATTTTGGAAAGAGATTACAAGGTTTCTCATATCGCAGAAAGACACCAAAATTATCACATTAATACTCTTAGGCTAAGAGAAATTTGTGTGGGACCTAGGCCGCCGACTCAGGCAAAAAACTGATGACCCTCGCTCCGGGCCGTTTCTGGCACAAAGACAGTCTATTGCCATCCAGATTGGCAATGCTGCAAGCACAATGGGCACCTTTGCGCCAGGACACAGGGTGATCATTATCATCATCAGCCTATTAGTTGGGCACATAATAAGTCGGAAAGCCTTATATTTTGGTGAGAGTAGAATTTCACTTCGCTTATTTAAAAGCTAGTAAGTTGGTATTGTAGTCAGTAATTTAGGTGCGATTTCATTAATTTATATAAGTTTTTTGGCAATAAATATTGGTTATCGTTTGGTGATCTGACAGTAACTAGGGACTTTGTATTTGATCTGAGGGGGCCCCTATCGATCGCGGTGCCCTGGGCACTTGCCCAAAGTGCCCACTGGGAAAGAGGGGTCTGATCATCAGCATCAGCCTATTAATGTCCACACTGCTGGGGCACAGGCCTTCCCTATGGATGGAATAGGGAGATTGGGCTCTCCAATGTGGAATGATCCACCACGCGGGCCCAGTGCGGATTGGTGGGTGCTAACGACTGCAGATGCAGCCGGGACCAACGGCTTAACGTGCCTTCCGAAACACGGAGGAGGTCGAGATAGTAATTTTTGGTCCCACCCATCCAATGACCGACCACTGCTAAAGTTGCTTAAGTTCAACGATCGCAGCCGAACGCGCTAACCGCTTGCGCCATCGAGCTCCTCCACAGGGTGATACTTGACGATATTTAGATTAATGGAATTGTATTTTATCAGATAACGAAATTTTACATACATATATTATAAGAAAGCATTTGATAGTGTTTCACATTCACAGTTATTAGCCAAGGCTTTTACATAGGAAATTCTGCGAATGTGCATCTTAATTCCAGTAAAACATAGCATTACAGACAAAATTAAACCTGTTTCTATGAAACGAACTAACCTCGATGTTAATTCTCAAAAAACTTGTACCCAAAAAAGAGAGGCACTTATTAAAAAAAATACGGATGTGACACAGCTTCGAAACATACAAAAGAAACAAACCTACAAATACTGAAGATAATCATATTCAATACCTATTTTTATTAATTCTGAGAACCTAAAATAACAAGTACATTAAGTTATAGAAGAATTAGCATTCACAAAGCAAACAGGATTTCAATAATGTTGAAATCAAATACAAAAACATGCATTCGTATAATAATATATTTTATTCACGGTTGAGCAAAAACGGATTTTCGAGTGACCCTCGGTAGCCGGCACTAGTAGGTGACCTTTCGTCTAGTGTTGGGACGCTATCGACAAGTTAACTCACGATATAAACATTCTTACTATTTAAAGAAAAGTTTTACTAGAAATCCACGCGTACCAGGCAGAGGACGGGACTCGAACCCGCACCCTTCGCAATCCGGGCGAATGCACTGACCAATTATGCTACCACGGCCCTGATGGCCGCGTCGAAATTTTCCTAGCCTTAAACTGCAAGGCAGCGCCATCTCTTCGCGTTGTAGGTAGCCCACAAAACTAGTAAAACTTTTCTTTAGATTTTTAAACATCTAGCAGTTAAATAGCTTAAAAATAAATAAAAACAATCTTACTATTTATTAACAGACTTCCAGAAACGGATAAGACTCCAAATATTGTTAAGAACATATAACGACATAGTCGACGACCTCCGTGGCCGAGTGGTTTGTACGCCGGGTTTCATGGTGTCGCCGACTCGAGAGGTCCTGGGTTCGAATCCCGGTGGGGGCAGATGTTTGTGTGATGAATACGAGCATTTGTACTCCAGTCATGGATGTTTAATATGTATTTCTATATAAATATACTTATATATGTACAATATATGTATTCTATCCGTTACCCTAGCATCCCATAACACAAGCCTTATAGTGCTTACTTTGGAGCTAGGCTAATTGGTGTGAGTGTTGGAAATATTTATTTATTTATTATTTATTAACTTTGTATGTAATTTAGATGAAGGATATTGAGGAGAATGATGGAAACTAGGGACATGTAATAAAATACCTTCGGGATTAATAGTGGGAACAAATTTTTATTAAATTTAGAAAAGTGAAAAGAAAAACCAAAGGCAATTCTAATGCCCTATAAAAATATATACCATAAAGTACAAAACTCTAAATTCTAGCTGAAAGGAGGTGCTATCGTGCACAAAGGAAAAATAAGAATTATTTCTTACCTTTGTGGTTTCATTTTTACCTTTTGGGTACGAAACCCTAAAAAGAATACAACTTCATTTATTTGAAACTTAAATTAATTGTTAATCAGGAATGTTTGAATAACTTAATTGATGTACCTGTTCTTCCTTTGGTGGTGGTTTAGGAGTGATGGGGTCTTCTGGAGGCCGCTGGTCGGGCACTAGGCAGCAGGAGTCCAGGTATGACTCGCAAGGGCCGTCGCGGATACTGGAAAGAAAACAACATAATTCTACTATTGTGCTTCTATACCGGTTGCGGATACTGGAAAGAATACAACATAATTCTACTATTGTGCTTCTATAGCGGTTGCGGATACTGGAAAGAATACAACATAATTCGGCTATTGTTCACGAAATGATGATGAAATTGATGAAAACAAAATTATGTACAGCTATAGCAGAAATCTTATCACAGTGCTGCTGACATCTAGTCTATCCCCTTTTGGTCAACAGTGGGACTCCGAGAGACTAGCCGATAAAGAAATGAGTTGACTGCGTCGCGACGGCACCGTCACAGTACAAGTAGTAATATAACATCTGCAGTGTGGCCACTGAAATGTGTTTATATGAGTTTGTTTTCACAAAATAGCCGTCGCGTCGCAGTCGCTGTACCAGTGCGGCCTCAGCCTAAACCTCTCCGATGGAGATATTTTGAAGTAGCTGTGATCTAACCTAAGCCTAATCTAACCTTTTTTTTTAATGTCTGGAAGATGCCTTATTTCCTCATTTTCCGAGAGGAGCCAGCAAATACGGTACCGGTGTGCCGTATCTGCGGGCTCCTCCGTACCCATTTCACCCAACTTAAAAGCTGGATGAAATGAGCCTGACTCTACATAGTAAATAAGATAATACTCTTGCACCGGTCACCCGTCACGGACTATGACATCAGAGGTCTCCATAATGCGTGCCGAGAATGAGGGTAACGTGGGGCCCTGCAAGAGACTGACCACGCACCCGCCGGTGAACCCTTTTTTTTAAAGGGGAGAATGCGTTTACGGACCGTCCCCGCCGACTGGGTAAACGAGCGGGTGTGTGGGACTCTCCCGGCAAAAGAGATAGCCGGGAATACTCCACTAAACTCCCTGGGAACTTCTCGCCATAAAACTGCTGGCCACGAGCATGTGCAGGGCGCTAGCTTGCGTAGGCCTACTCGGCGGTGCCCGCACCCACCGGTGAACCCTAATGTAACCTGACCAAAAAGTTATAATAAAGTTGTCATTTTTATTGATATACGTTTGTTATTTTTAAACTTTTATTAGCCAGAGCTGTACCTAATATATACGCATTTAATCAGCATTGAAAAGCAATTTGCACTAGCATTAAAAAAAACATAGTCTAAGCCCTTGACGCCATATTTGGCGGTGGTTGAACCTAACCAGTTGTTTGTTGTAAGTGAACAATGGTATATTGGTGTAATGCCAACTCATGCACGGTACTACTCGTTTAATGATATTTTTTCTATGACATTAATAATATCCAATGGCCAGTCAAGGCCACCACGAATGGCTGCACCGGAGATTTCAACTTCATCAGACACCTTTGTTGGCCTGGGGGCTTTCCGCGTTACTGTAAACATTTGGACATTTAAAACCCCATTTTTGATGTGTAACATCTTTCCTCTCGCTTCTCTGCAATTTGTGGGAGTGATTTCGTGAAATGGGACGGAAGTGTGTAACAGGAAGTCACGAAAGCGCGCGCTATTTGATTTCATTTTAGAACATAATATTCAAATGACTTATTCCTTTTGTGTTAGGTTTTTTTTTTTTACTAATATAAGGTGAGGTTTTAAATGTTACACATCATACGCGACTACTGTAAGGCTCGCTCGTTTTTTATTGCTTAATGGCCGGTTCATATTATACCAGTACAGCGATTGAATCCAGCGCTGCAATGCTAATAGAATAACGCAAACCGTCACTGGAATGTCCTCAATCCAGTGGGTAATCCAACCCAGTGATTGACGGTCTTTTTTACATTCTTGCACACCTATTCAAGCGACAGTGGAATATTGGATATTGCCATTCTAGTACTGGATCGAATGTTTGACAGTGAAAATTTTCATTCTGCTCTTTTGTTGCCACTGTCACAGTTTTGCAAAGACTGGAATAATGTAATCGATATTATCCAGTCCCTCGCTGGACTGTATTGATTCGCTGGATTACTGGACTGGAATAATAAGAACTGTACATCTGATAACTAGCAAAAATTGTTATATCAGCAGCATATTAATATTCCTACTGATGGGGTACAGGTCTTCTAAACTTCTAAATTGAGTGGAATGGGGAGATTTGGCCGCCACCACGCGTTTCAGTTTGGTGTAATGTTTGCTAGTCTGCCAACCACAGAATACAGAAAGAGGTTGAGTGGAGGAAGTGGAGAAGGGCCTTGTGGGTTGGGCAGACGCGCCATAGTTATGTGTGAGCTAATGCTCACTATTTGACCAAAACTTCTCTCTTGACCAAAGCTCTCGGGTGTGAGCGTTGATTTTTTCTATTGTTCCCTTACAAACGGTCTATGATCACTCTTCTAACCTCTTTCTGTGTTCTGTGCTGCCAACGGCTAAGGACGTACCATATGCTTGATTGCCACAAGTAAATAAATAAATAATATGCACAAATGTCATCTTCTCTTATGCAGAGAAAAACTTTAAAAGTTAATAATAATTTTGTCACGATTGGAAATAGGCAAATGTTAAACAAAAAGAAATACTTATTGCAGTTCAATACTTGGGTCAGAATGAAATTTAAAACCAGGTATTCAAAAGACTTACGAGACCGGCGATGTAGGTAGGTACAACGAGGAACGAGGAACATATTCATTTTTTTCACTAGAACTTTTTATCAAATCAATCACACTGGTAGTACACAATTAGTTGTTTCTAATCAAAAAGTATTTACACTTGCAATAAAAAGAGACTTAAATTATTATCTGCAAAATTGTTGATCTAAACCACCATTTTGCTGCAAACAAAGGTAGGCATGTTTGCGGACGTGTCTTTTCGCCTTTTTTAAAGTGTCCCTATCACTACTCACTGCACAAAATGCAACTTCTATGGTTTGGGGACTCATTCGTAAACCAAACCTACTTCGTCACACTCGCGATAGCAGTACACCATCTCTAAATATTCTTGGTTCGTATACCGAGGCATAATGAAATTATCACAGTGTATGTCACTAAGTCAAAAGATGCGCACGCCCACGCGCGATTGATATACTTGCGACTGCGTTTTGCATGCAATCAAAGCAAACCACCGCGTGCGGGGAAGAGGGGAGGTGGGCGGAATTCACATCATCAAAGACGCCGCAACCGGCGCTAGTTGCTAGCGTGCGGCGCGCCGCCCGCCCGTGCTTGCCGCAAAACAACATATTGTTATGTGTGTGTGTGTGTGTGTGTGACTGTGGCTGTGATTAAATGTGTTGGGAATTTCATGACGTGGGCAAATCAGATGCGAAGAGTTCCTTCCTTCACTAAGCTCGTAAGTTATACCGATTTGCTCTGTATGATTTTCCCCAATTTTAAATAAGCCGTTTGTGCTTAAGTTTTAAATAAACGAGGCAACTAACATTAACAATAAAAAAGAAGTTCTTACACTAACAGACAGGCTTTACCGATTTAAAATCGTGACAGTCATACCTATTAACTTTATAGGATTTTTAATTGCTCTAACAGAATATTTTTTTTATTGATTAATTACCTGTGCTTAATGAAATAATATTTAAAGGTATTGTGTATCAGTGAATAAATAATTATAATATAGCATCTAAGACTATTTTATTGTAATGTTTTTCAATAGTGTGGATCAAAGCGGAGAGTAGGTAAGCGCCGAGTCATCTGCGTGTGTGGTAGGTACCTACACAGGCGGCTGCCGGTCGTCGCCCCGACCGGCGCTGATCTCGACTGGAGGCATAATGAAGGCATTCATTAAGTTTCCGTTTTTTTAGTAGTGCTTATTTTAAGTTGCTTTATAACTTCTACGTAGACGTGTTTAAAATGAATAATTACTCATAAGGAAGAAATGACAAAAAATAACCAAATAAAAAATTAAAAGACGAAAAATTTTATTTTAAAAAATCCGAAAAAAATCAGGCATACTCTATACACGTAACCCAACAATCTCACGAAGTTTCATAGAAACATTCAATTTCACCCTGTATATTTTTTTTTTATTTTAGCAGTTTATAATTATATGTTTGTGTTTTATTGGTCAATAAAATGGTTCTCTCTCTCTCTCTCTCTCTCTCTCTCTCTCTCTCTCTCTCCCCCCCTCCCTTTCCCTCTCTCTCCCTCCCCCCCCCCCCCTCTCTCTCTTAAAGTAAAATACGTACCGAATGTCAATGATGCCGAATCCGTCTGTGTTGATGGTGTTGTTATTGTTGTTGCACAGGAAGTAGCGCACACACTCTCCAACTTCCCCCTTATCGGTCCTGCAGGACGTGTCAGCTGCTAAAGAAAACATAAAGTGGTTTTGTACAATACGACACGTATTTATTTTTTGTAAACGCAATTAAAATTTTACAGGGATAAATTGATTTGAAAACTGTCGCATGACGTCACGTTTAGGTACAAATTTTACTTAGAAGTGACGTCACGAGCCCCTACTCCTAAACTTTCAACCAACCAAATAGTAACAAAGATAAAGCGCGATAACGCGACAACGCTATATCTTTGTTACTATTCGGTTGATTGACAAAAGAAAAAAGTTTTTTTGAAGTTTACTCCTTAAGAATCGATTTGCATATACAAGGGGCCCGGTATGAGAAAAATGTGAGGAGTAAAATCTATAGATGAATGACATTAATGACCTCGTTACGGTTTTGTGCGCAACCTCATCTGCGCACCTTTCACTTTTAGCCATGGCAACGAATAAAAACCATTAAGTTGTCACAAATGTTAATAAAATAAATAAACTAAAAATAGATAAAATCGGAGCAAAATTAATGAAAACAAATAAATAACAGAATATAGAGAAATGCCGGTAATTGTCCAGCACTCTGGAATAGTGATTTTCAGTACAGATGGAATTATAATACATATTTACAAAATGATGACTAGTGTGTGATATTTTTGAAATTGTGTGTTTCCAGAAATACATAATAAAATATATGATGAATATCGCTGATGTTAGATGATAAAATGTGTGACATAGAACCTATGATAGTCGAAACCATGGGACGATTCCTGAGGTATCTCCTTAGGGTATCACTTCTTGTAACCGACTTCTTCGGACTTGATTTTGTTTTGTGTCTGTTCAAAGACAATCGTTTTTAGAGTGTAAACTCCGGTCGTGCGTCGGAGCTGACACACACATTTTTTTTTTTTGATAATCCAACTGACGGACTATTTTTTTTGATAATATATTTTCGTTTAGACTGTCTTCGCCCTTATTGTATTTCAAAAATTCACTCTTAAGATTTTTCATTATCGCACCAAAAAGTTAAATAAACTTCAACTTTAGAATGTGATTCAGATGTGTAAAATTTTACCTTATTTTTATAAACAAAAGAAATTACCACACGCTTAATGGAATAAATGTTTTCAATATTTTTTGTATTATATAAGTCTTGTTTTAAAGTTAAATGAATTTGATGCTCCAGCAATATTTGCATGTAGGTAAACAGAATAACACATTACTTACTTATTTAATTAAAAGGTGGCGTTTTAAAGTGTCCTTAATACGATACTCGTAGGTCAGTATTGTATTAAGCGTGTGAAATATGTCAAGAATTAAAATGGTTTAAGAAGACGAACTAAAACTAGAAAATATATTGGAGTATTGGAATCGAACCGAAATTTATTTGTTCGTGAATGCTCTATTGTTCGTGAATGCTCTTTCTATTGTTCGTGAATGCTCTATTATTATATAGTATTGTTATTAACCGAATAACTGAAGCAAATACCAAAATATAACTTGAACTTAACCAAAAAAAACGCACATTATTCCTGCTAACATTAAGTGCAAAAGGAATATAATAATGTATCGACTTGCAGCAGTCTCTCTGATTGAACATAAAAAGTTTTCACCAATTGCTAACTGCCTGCTCGCAATATAATATATTTTCCACTTCCGGGATACAGGCCTTCCCTACGAATGAATGAACGGAATAGGGAGAATATATTGTTCTAAACTTTCATCACTAACATTATAGTAAATATTAGCGGCCCGCCCTCGCTTCGCTTCGGTGTAGAGCTGAAGTGTAGACTACAGTTTTTGTTCTCAGGCTTGTATTATACACAATGACATTCATCTATGAATCTTCTTAAACCTGCATGCAAAGTCTCAGCCCGATCGGTTTAAAATTGACAAAGTTTAATTCAAACTTTCATTCCCTATTTTATCCGCTTGGGTGTAGAATTGATCAAAATCCTTTCTTAGCGGATGCCTACGTCATAACATCTATGTGCATGCCAAATTTCAGCCCGATCCGTCCAGTGGTTTGGGCTGTGCGTTGATAGAACACTATGACAGTCAGTCACCTTTGAGTTTTATATATATAGATTACTATAGGGAGAATTAGCCTTTAGCTTACTGAGAATACGGCCCAAGTGCAGATTAGTGGGTGGATGCTAACGACAGCAGATGCAGCCGGGACCAAGAGCTTCACGTGCCTTCTTAAACCCAGGAAGATCCTAAGACTGACCATAGCGAAAATTACTTCATCATCAGCATCAGTCTATTAATGTCCACACTGCTGGGGCACAGGCCTTCCCTATGGATGGAATAGGGAAATTGGTCTATGACCCACCACGCGGGTTCAGTGCGGATTGGCGGGTGCACTTACAACTGCAGATGCAGCCGGGACCAACGGCAAACAAAAGTCAAGTTTTCTCTACTGGTAAGTGAATTGGTTTGGAATCGTGTGTTCTTAACAACAAGTCTTCAAGTGCATTGTCAAAATCTACAGTTTCCTGTATAGATTGAGATCCCTGAATGATTGGTGAGAAAAAGTGTGTTAACTTTGGCAGCCAAATAGTGGTGATAACAGGGTAAATTTTATGTTTAACGTAACTTCCGATGCACGGAGGAACGCGAGATAGAAGATTAGAGGTCACCCACCCAATGACCGACCACTGCTAAAGTTGCTTACCTTCAACGATCGCAGCCGAACGCGCTAATTACCTGGGCCATCGAGCTCCTCATTAAAATTACTTAACTGCAATGATTCCAAACCGAACACGTAAACATATTGATAATTATAGTTTAAACTAGTTTCTGAGTTAGGGGTCCATTTCTTCAGATTTTTATATAAATACCCGTAGACTTTTATAAGCTTAATACTTTAAATGTAAAATGTTGGGTTATGAATAAATGATTATATTATTATTATTTTATTTAAACAAAATGTATAAATAAAAGAAAAACCACTGCTCGTTCGAGCTCCTGCCGTCCACACTGAAGGTAGTTTTTCTTTAGCCAAAATCTTGTTCGTGAATGCTCTAAATAGTATTGTTATTAACCGAATAACTGAAGCAAATACCAAAATATAACTTGTGGCTTAAACACTAAGTGCGAAAGAAATATAATATTGTATCGACTCGCCGTCTGTATAATTAAATTAGCTCCTTAACTGGTTTGTTTTTACGATCCAAATATTTGGTCGGTTAATATTGCCAGTTGTGTGTAGTGTCAATATCAATAAAAATTCTGTAATGTGTCTTAACTGGTAAAGTAAGGTAATCTTACTATTCTGGGAATCAGCTCGTCTTATAAATAGACTGAAGAAATTGGCAGATTAGTAACAATAAAGTTTTTTTAATAAAAAACAAGATAGAATTAAAAAATAACACAAACCTAAACAGAAAGATATATTTTTTTTTAAAGCAAGTAACTGCTTGATGTTTAAATCTAAAGAAAATATAACTAGAAAAAAATCCACGCGGACCAGGCAGCAGACGTTACTCGAACCCGCAGCCTACGCTATCCGGGCGAATGCACTGACCAATTATGCTACTGATGGCCGCCTGATGGCCGCGTCGAAATTCTTCCACCCATTCTTGAGCTGCAAGGCAGCGCCATCTCTTCGCATTGTAGGCAAACCACAATTTCAAATGAATACATTTACAATATATTAAACATTTGAAAGAAGAAATAGCAATTATTGTTATAATTTTTATTTTTTAAGCATGTAACTGCTTGATGTTTAAATCTAAAGAAAATGTAACTAGAAAAAATATTTATCATAATTGGTCAGTGCATTCGCCCGGATAGCGAAGGGTGCGGGTTCGAGTCCCGTCTGCTACCTGATCCGCGTGGAATTATTTCTAGTTATATTTTCTTTAGAAAGAAATTTTGAAGAAGACCTTTTTCCAATTTTGTTCCTTGGTACAAATTATCTCAAAATACACGTAAAATTATAATTAAAAAGACTCACTCATCGAAATCTCAATATATTAAAAAAATGCTGAAAATCAACTTAGACGCAATTTGTTGACTGTCGTGATAGCTAATATTATTGGGTTAAAATCAATTTAAATTCCTTTTCTTTATTGTGGTGATTTTTGATACAACCAAAAAATCACGCGATTTCCTTAGCTAATTGTTATAACATATTTACCATAATATATTATATGTGTTGCCATTAATTTTAATATTTGAAAGCCGCGTGGATTTTTTTACATGTAAAAAAATCCACGCAGCCCAGGTAGCAGACGGGACTCGAACCCGCACCCTTTGCTATCCGGGTGAACGCACTGACCATTATGCTACCGCGGCCCTGACGGCCGTGTCGAATTTTTCTCTAGCCTTAGGCTACAAGGCAGCGCCATCTCTTCGCATTGTAGGTAACCCAAAATGTCAAATGAATACCTTTACAAGTATTAAACATTTGAAAGAAGACGTAGCAATTATAGTTATGAATAGATTTAAAGATCTAGCGATTAAATGCTTAAAAATTAAAATTATAAACCTTTTATATGTTCTTTAATATTAATATTTATTACATTCTATTATTATTTCGAATGTAAGTATCGAGGTATTAAATTTACAGAATGCATGCAGCAGCTTGATCATTTAGGGCCTCTTCTTTTGTGTTTTCAAGAGGTAATATGTGTGGTACATGTTGGCGAATTAGGCGTATTAAACGGGATGACGAATCGTATAAAGCGTTAAGAAATGTATGAAAACATGTCTCAAGTTGCAGGGACTGACGCAAAATGGCATATTATGCGAGAAATCGTATTAAGCGTGAGCGTATTAAACGTTCGTAAAAATATAGATTAACTTACAAAAAAGAAGTGATTTGTACATAAGTTCAATACAAGAAACAAAAATAAAATTTCAGGCTGCATAATATTAGTAATTCATTTTTGGGAAAATGCATTATACTTTTTAATAAATTACCACAAACTACATATTATAGAACTGCCCATTCATAAATTTAAAGCACATACTAAAAGTACCTACCTTAATGAAATAGGGCTACTATAGGTTGAAGATTACTTATATA